CATGTACTTACATTTACTAACAAATTTTGAAAAAACTAGAAAATATAGTTGGGGTTCTGCAGTATTAGCCCACCTGTACAGTTCCTTGTGCAAAAACGCAGTCAAGGAAAAATGTACATTTTATGGGTGCGCATTTTTACTACAAGCCTGGGGTTGGTGGAGGATGGAGTCCTTAAACCCCATCAACAACAACACTTTTGGTTTCCCGTACGCAACAAAGTAAGTCATTAAGTTATAGCATTTATAACTATTCTGCTCTTTCCAAAATATGTGCTAAAAATAACATGTTTCTCATTTCCTTTAGGTACTGCGTGAGGGGTATGGATTACGGCAAGAATCCAAGATTCAATGTCGCACTCTACCAGAATCTGTTGGATCACTTAGGCCCAGATGACGTACGTCGTAGCTTTTAACTTTTGTTCATTTTAATTATTTATACATTACTTTTGCACTAACCTGATTTAAATTTTATCGCAGTTCATCTGGAGACCATATTTGGGTTTGGGCCATTCTCCAAACCCAGAGGATGCAGCAACTTGGACTGCAAAGACTGCACTCATTCGGTTCAACATTGTGGAGATGCACCACAACGACCGTGTGAAGATGCAGTTTGGAATGCATCAAGAGATACCAAGTGATCCAACAGATTTGTCCCCCTGGCATCTAAAAAGGGTCGACGCCCAGTGGGGTCTTACCAACTGGAAAGACTTTGCTCTAGAATGGTGTAAAATGTGGCAAAGGCGTCACCGCTACATCTTGCAATCCCCGGTTTTCCTTACTCAAGGTAACATGCGACACACTGATCAATATATGTCGTGGTACAGGTCGGTTAGTAACCCAGAAATGCACGCGTCTCATCCGAGGTACTTGGTTGACCCACGCACACAATGGGCACAACCCTCGATTCCCCATCAACAAACCCAAAATCCATCAACCTCAAACCAACCCCCAAGAAGAAACAGACCAACAAACACACAACCACATTCCCCACCACAACACAACTACAATCAAATGTCGTACTACCAACCACAATCACCACCAAACTACCAATACCCGGATATGCCTCAAACCCAACCACAATACCAACCCCAATACCAGCACACCCACATACCCCAGACACAATTTCAGTCTTCGACATATCCCAATATGGCGCCCTCAACATCCAGCCTTAGCCCTGATATGGGAATGTCAGAAGATTATGACCAAGCCGACCAAACCTACCATCAACCACCATATCACCAAACAACCCAACATCCACAATACCAAACACCCCAAGATCCATTTCCTTTCTACCCCCCATACTCAGACGACCAATGCTACCGGCCAACCATGGAACCCCACCCACCGCCAACACGACCAAACTTTGAGGGTATGGGTAACCGATTGTACCAGAGCGGATCTTCGAGATATGGAGATCTTACTGATTTTATGGATTCAGATCGCATTGACTTCGCTGGGCCATCGACCTTGCCGCAGCAGGAAACGCGACGGCACCCGACAAGAGAAAGGCGAGGACGGGGATGCGGAACCGGGGGTCATTACCGGGTTCCGGGGGATCACTGATGTATCTTTTCCCAGTATTTTTTGTATCCATTTTTTTACTGTTCTTTTAATGTAAAACAGTTGAATGTAATTATTTTTTTTTAAATAAAAAATCCATTTTGTTGATCTCTCTCTAATAGGCAACGCACAGGAAAGAAAATAAAAAAAAAATTTTGCCCTAATTTTGTACATAGGCGCCATCTCACTTGGCTTAGGGCATGCCCTAAGCACTTAGGCGCCAAGTGAGATGGCGCCTCCCTTAAAAAAGGAGGTGCATGCGCCAATTGAGATGGCTCCTCCTTTGTGGAGCCATCTCAAACATGGTTATTTGCGTAATTTTTTCCGAAACCCGGTTATTTACGAAATATTTTTTTAATACATGGTTATTAATAAAAAAAATTCGCAATAGAGCAAAAAGCCTACAATTGAGAATTTTTTTGTGGAGCTGACTTGAAACCTTCTCTATACTTATACACAAACACATTGCAAACTAACACACGATTGCTAAGGGCCAGAAACTCTCTCAAAATCTCTATCACCAAAAACCTGCCAAAAACTTGCAGTTTTGTACCAAGCATAACAATCCAAAAATCCACTCGTGCGTTTCAAGTTCTAATCACCTAAACACTTAACCTACATTATATTTAAGTGTTCTAGACCATTACCCCTTCACTGTAACTCCTCCTTCTCCATCTGCCATTTTTGTTTTTCAAGCTTGTAGGTTGACTTGGATAGGGAGATTCAGGCACTTTCAAGACAAGGTAAAGATTGGAACATACTCAGGGAGGTTCAGGAAAGCTAAAGGGATCTTCAAGCCTTCATAAAACTCACTTAAACTCCATTCACGATCTCAGTTGAAGGAGGTAAGAACTCTAACTTCTATCTCTTCATACAGACATCCATTGGTCTCGATTTGTGAAAGGAAAATGTAGATATTATTGTGCTAAAGCCAACCATGTGCATAGATTTCATTTATGTTCATTATGTATGGAGAATTTTAGATTTCAAATTTCTGTAAAAATTAGGTTTAAAATTAGGGCCATTGAAATTAGCTTTGATCATTGATTGTTAGTTTACATGAGTTATATGGTTGAAATCGTGGGAAAAAGTACTACAATTTTCATGTTTGAAGTTTCCGTTTTAATGGAGAAATGAGAAAGATACAGAGATTCTGGCTAGCTTGAGGAAGAAGATGAAGTACAGGGCAAGGAGGCGTTATGTGTTATGTGTTTTTTATTTCATATGAACTAACGGATGTACAGCCACCTCAGTGGCAAGGCAGCACGCTGAGAATGCCAAGGTCATGGGTTCGAGCCTTGGTGCCTGCCTTTTGCATATTTTCTCATTTTTTTGCCATTTTTCTCATTTTTGCAGCGCTAGGCTTTTGTTCATTTGGGCTTATGTTTTTTTTCCCTAATATTACCTCCTGATTACTCAGGACACCCCTGGCCCAATTTATTTTCATCCATTTATTTTATCTTTTGTTTATTTCATTAAATATTTTTCTTTAGCATAAAAATCATAAAAAATATAAAACATGATAAATATTGCATTTTGTTTATTTTATTTTATTTTATTTTCACATAAAAAATATTTTTATTAAATTATATACTAACTATTTTTCTTAAATAAACTTGTAAAATAAAATAGACTTAGATATATTTTTATCCCTTTTTCTTCATAATTGTAAATATTTATTTTGACATATAAAAAGACTAAATATTTTCATAAATATTATTTATTATTTCAAGACAAAAATAATACCTAAAGAACTTTATTTTCTTTTAAATTAGAAATTAGGGTTAACCACTTTTCAAGAAATAATTTCCTTTTTTTTAATATTATTAGGTTTAATTCAAAACTCTTCTCTATATGAAAAAACAAAAAAAAAATATTTTTCTTGCATACATACCATTGCATATTTATATTGTATATTATTTATTCAAATATTTGTACAAATTCGATTTGATTGTAATAGCTTAATTAGATTTACATTATTGCAAATCGCCATTCATAATTTGTATACCTCCTCCCATAAAATGTTGTAATAGCGTAGTAATCTTTAAATTACGCAATTTACCGCTTTTATATACCATGCTAGTAATTAGGGTTTGAATGGAAAGATCAAAACAAATCAAATAGGAAACCCTAATCCAAGACAAAATCAAGCATGAAAATAACACACTTGTACACAAGCACCCTTAGGGTTACTCCACTTGGTTTCCTTACACAAAAAAGGCCATATTACGCATGCGAAGTATCTTGACAAAACAAACAACTATAAGATCATAGTCCCTCGATGACGCTATTCAAAGTTGCCTTACAAAATGATCTTGGTCCCTCAAAAATGCTAAGATACTTTGCAACATTGCTAATCATGGTTATACGATGACCCACGCCCGTCCCGTTTACATCCAAAGATAGGGTTGCTTACCAAATCAATGGTAAGACAACAATATCAAAGGAAAAGAAAATGAACAAGAAAGACATTTGAGTAGGTAGATTACTTCTAGTTACTTGCTCCCTTTCCAAACAACTATCCTTTCTATTTTCCAAAACAAACACACACATTTCAAAACATCTTACAAACAATGAAAACATTTTCAAAAAGACAAACATCTTTGTATACATTCTTACGAACGAGAATCATTATAAAGATTGTTTAAACAATGACCTCTTTTACAAAATACTTTCAAAACCACACAAAGCACAATTTCAAAACAAAAAGCAAGTGATTTAGCAAGTAACTAAGAGCCCATGGAAAACCATGGATAAAAAGGGTGCTAATACCTTCCCTTTTCATAATCTACCCCCCGAACTCAAGAAACAATCTCAAAGGTCTTTCCTGTGCTTTTTCACCTTTCCTTTTGGATAAAAGAAAAGTCGGTGGCGACTCTTACTAACCGCAATATTTGCGATAAAACGCAAAACCCTCAAGTCAGTTCTCCCACCGTATCACACATTGACATAAGGGTTTTCATTTTATTACTTGAGATTTCAAGCAAGAATAAGGAATTACTAGATGTTATTGTGGCATTATTTCGAGGTTGAAAGCTTTGATTGAAAACTTTGACTTTGTCAAAATCAACTTGTAAAGTTGACTTTTAATCCAAAGTCCATATGGGATTCTTGGCTTTTCGTCTCATCTCATGGTTCATTCAGGTTTGCAAGAGAAGAATTAAAAATGCAAAATGGGGAGAAAAGAAGAATATATCATTCATGGGAAAGTAAGTTATACAAAGTCAAGATACAAGGTGAATCTGTTACAAAAGTATAACCAAGATACATTACCAAAAAAGGGAATTACATTACAAGAAGGGAATGCATGAAAATTACACAATTTTGATTACGTGTCCTTAAAATGCTCCTAAAAAAACACAACTTGCTTTCATTATGTCAAATACTTCTTCAGTCGTCTTTAAATCTTCCATGATCAAGATAGCTTTGCAACTTGTTTCTCATCTTTGATATCTAACTTCTCCAAAATAGCCATACTTCTTTGTAACATGCATTACGTGAATTAACACAAATAGTTCACCTACGAGCATATTGTAGCCCTGCAAGAATAATCCAAAACAGATTGCAAACATCAACATAATCACGAGTACATTCAAGTTACAACCCTCTATTAAAAGACCATGCATGTTCTACATACACTTTATACCATAATAGTCTAACCTTTACATGGCAGGCATCGTCTTGTTTAAACAAGTCATGTAGCAAATGCGCGATGCAATTTTTACATGGTAGCTAGGAGGCATCTCAGTTCAGCTCATGACATTCAAGACAAGATTTACAAAGGCATCCAAGACCAAAAAACAAGATATTTCTACATCCTAACGAACAACATCAGAAGCAGTTTGCATCAATAAAAATTTTCAGTTCAATTACACTCAGAAATAGTTCCAGGATCACACATTCAAACCACTGCAAGTAAGCCTAAATATGTGTGTTATAAGGTCTTAAGAAAGAGCAAATAATGATGGCAATACAGTTCAGATTAGATGGAAAAAAACATAGGTGCACACATGTAGTTTACATTCACACTTCGCCCCTTATAACCCTACCAAATAAACCCAACAGAAAACTTCTCTAACCAAAAATCTCAAACTAATCGCAACTTTCTAACACCTATAATTAACTCTAATAGTTATAACAGAATCAGAAAAACTAACCTCCTAATTGTAACTGAAATAACAGAATTCTTAACCCCCAATAACAAACTCTCAAACATTTTGCAACTAACCTCAATCTCACCATTCAATCCCTAACAACTTCCACTCCATCCTAGGGCTGAGATTACCCAGACCATAACTGAATCATTCAATCTCCATGCCTATATAAGCTAGCTGCACCTTTAATTCAAGGCTCTCTGCCATTTTTCCACACATCTTAGAAACACACACGTCATTCTTCATTCCCTATTTCTCTTTCACTCTGAGTTCACCATCATCACCAATCTCCTACACTCAGAATCACTAATTTCACCATCTGCATCTTCTCACCATCGCTCTCTCTCTCTCTGCATTAAAATTCACCATTTGTTATATCACCATAACCGGATGCATACAAAAACAATAAACAACAACAACATTTCCTTTTTTACACTATGAATCCTCAATATCATAAGCACACTCAGAAGAATGTAGAAGAAGAAGAAGGAAAAGATCTGAAAGGAGAGTTCAAGATTGATGAATACCTGAACAAGAGCTCGAAGAACTCTGGGTTTCTCAATGATTTCCTTCAGTTTTAAGAACCGCCAGAGTTATTCTGGTAGGTAATTCGTACTAAACTTCAAATCTCTGCTATTACTCTCGTTTAGATGCGAATCTGCAGATGATAATGAGTATAAACGAGGTCCGTTCATTTAATTTTAATGAAGGAGATGTTGGAGTGACAAATAAAAACGGTTGCAGTTCTTCGAAGAAGAACAATGAACAGAAGTGTGTGGTCATGGCGTTACTGGCGAGGCTGCGGCAAAGTCGAAGAAAAAAGGCTAGCCATCACGGAAGAGAGAACGAGAGAGCATTTAGTAGATTTGGGAATTGGGAGTGTAACAAGAAGATCTACAATGACATTGTTCCATCCCTTTAAATTTATTTATTTATTTTTATTATTATTTTTATAGATAAAAATATAAAAAAAGGCTGATTAAAGACCTTCGCGATTGGGCCTTGCAGCGCCATAAACTGGATCCACACCCTCACATATGCTTGTTACATGATTTTTGGTACACTTGTGGAATTGAAACAAAAATGGCTTAGTGGACTCATTCCTTAATGGGCCTAGCACCCTGATTTCTACACCATAACCTCTGATCCAGCTTAGCACCCCCTGAGCTCACTAATTCTTTGTTAGATTTAGGACTTTTTCTTTGTTGATTTTTCCTATGACAAAATTATAAAATAAATAAAATTTGTTAGATCTATTTAGTCAATTTTAGAATTTAATTCTTTAGTTATTGATAGAATTTTCCTCACATAAAAAACTAATAAAAATATACTTTTTCTCTTAGTTTGTTGTTCATATTTTTACACCGTTTTGCCTCGTTATTTTTGACGCATTTGTTCATTGTGCAAGGTACATTTTGGTGCTTTCGATTATGTAATATAACAGGTTGTTATGTGATCGAAGCATATGACTTATGCTCGCTTCTGATGCAACACACCTTATTTCTCATCGTCTTGAGAAATTCATATTATATTATATGTTTGTCCAGATGCATGTGATATTTTGTGATACTTTGTACAGGAATTTCTGATTACGCGTTGCGTTCACAACACACCGTTTCTTTTATCTTAGTTGGATGTCGTTTCTGACTTTGTGTGTTTCTTGGTGAAGCTTGCTCGACACGTACTCCCTGTTTCTCATTGCTTTCGTCCGCTTTTGACGACCCGCTTGCTTTTGATAGTCGCCGCTACTGCTTTTACATTTTCTCTCACTTTATCGCATTTCTTTACCGCTTTCTAGATATCATAAGAAGTAGGGACTTTACTGCTTTCTAATGCCATGAGAAGTAGGAATAGAGATGTATGATAGGGTCTCTGTTGCTGATCATGTTAGGAACTCCTCTGGTTTATTTAAAGACCCGTTTAGGGTAATTCTGCATTATTTGCCACTGTGTGCTACTTGTGTGTGGTTTGTTTAAAACCCTACCTTTGTGTAGATATTTTGCAGGTGTGTTTACATTTGTGCTCGCATATGTTGTAGATGATAATTCCTCAAAAGGAGGCGAGCGAAAAGGGTTAGAAATCAACCCTCGCAATTTCGTAGATGTCATACTTAGCTCGTGACACAACATGATGCTTAGGAGTTATGCCTACTCTCGTTATTGAGTCGTCAAGTAGAAAAGGGTTTTGTAATCTGTAACACAGTGGGAGAACTGACTTGGGTGTTTTTCGTTTGATCGTAATTGTTGCGGATAGCAAGAGTCGTCATCGACTTTTCTTTTATCAAATAAGGAAAGGTTGAAAAGAACAGGAAAGACCTTTCGAGATTATTTCTTGAGTTCGGGGGGTAGGTTATGAAAAGGGAAGGTGTTAGCACCCTTCTCATCATAGTTATCTACGGGCTCTTAGTTGCTTGCTAGATCACTTGCTTTATTTTGAACATGTGCTTGTGGTGTGGGTTTTGAAAGTATTTTGAAAATGTCTTTGTAATGGTTCTCGTTTCTATAAGAACGCGTACAAAGTGTTGGTTTTGAAAATAGTTCAAAAAGGTGTTTATGGAATGTGTTTTTGAAAGTGATTTTGAAAAGTGTCTTTGTAATGATTATCGTTTCTATAAGAATGTGTACAAAGAGCTTTGTCTTTTGAAAATGTTTCAAATGAAAGTGTTGGTGTATAAAATGTTTTTGTTGTGAGCAAGCGAGCAACTATGAGCGTCCTACCTACTCAAAAGGTCTAATGTTCTTTTCCTCCTCCTTTAAATGTTGCTATCTTACCATTGATTTGGTAAGAAACCCCATCATTGGATGTGAAGGGACAGGCGTGGGACATTTGTATAGTCATATAAGGCAACATATAAGACGTTTAAGCAAATTTCGTTTAGGGACTAGATCGTTTACCGAAGGCAACATCGAGGATCATCGAGGGACTACGATCTTTTATCAAGGATCTTTGCTAAAAGGCCCATATTCGAGGGACATGACTATTTTCTGAGGCAACAAGTGAGATTACCCTAGAGGTGCATGTGTGAATAGTGTGTTTGATTGCATGCATTTTGTCTTTGGTTTTTGGATTGTCTACTTGTTGTTTTTTATCTTGCCATACATCCTAATTACTAGCATTTATACAAAAGTAATAAAAATACAGAAAATAAATCCTACACTATTACAACCATACTGAATAGCATGAAAATGTAAAGACAAAATAAAATAAAGGAAAGAAAAAGGGCTCTTTCGATTTAGGCAGAAGCATCCTTCGATTTTGCTTCTCTGGCTCCCTTCGATTTGGCCCTGGAGTCAGCAAGGTCATGTCCTTCGATTTGGGCTTAGCCTGAGGCATGAGATGCAACCTTCGATCCTGCCTTTTTGCCTCCTTCGACTGGGGCCTGGAATCAGCATGGCCATCTTTCTGGCTGCCTCTTTCGTTTGAACCTGGAAGTTAATGTGGAAGCCTAAGGCTTCGTTTCATATCTCCTTCCTCCTGTTTCTTTCGTTTGAAATTTTAAATAGAAACATGGCCTAAGACCATTCTAGCATTACCTTATAGCCAGGTTAGTTTTTAAAGCATATTTAACAAACCAAGAAACAAAACCAAAAGGAGTAATAATAAAAACAAACTAAAAGGATGGAAACGAATAGGAAACGAATACTATGTATATGCTTCAAACGAAGAGTTTAAGGTCAGAATGACTTACCTTTTTTGAAGCTGGAGCGTTTGCTGGACTTTGATTGGCTGCCTTGGATGTCCCTGGATTTGATGGAAAGAAACAAAGGTGACGCCTTTAGTGCTGGATTTGAAGGTCAGGAGATGTGAAGTATGGTTTCTGATTCGAAAAAGAAAAAGAAAAAGAAAAAGAAAACAAGGCTTTTGTTTCTTTAGATTCGAAGGACCGAGGAAACAGGTGTAGTGTTTCTTTGGGATTCAAAGGGTCAAAAAACAAGTGTTGTGTTTCTTCTGGATTCCGGGTTTGAATGTGTGTTTAAGTGTTTGAGAGTGTTTGAGTTTGTTTGAGAATGTTTGAGTTTGTTTGAGAGTGTTTGATGATTTTGAATATTCGTTCCTCCAGCCCAAAAAGTCCTCCTCTAGCTTGCAAATGCTTCTCTATTTATAGAGAAAAGGTTGAAGGTGTTTGAAGTAACCAGGTTTGTAAGATAACAAACCATGGTTTCATTGAAAACGAAACAAGTTTAGTCCCTTTTTGTTGATCCCAAGTTTCTAGTACAAGTGGGGGCCTACTGGAAGGAGATTGGACTTGTGCTTCTAGCACTGCTTTTCGTTCAGACATGAATCAGATTGGAAGCCGGTTTTGTGATAAAAGCACTCTTTATGAAAAAAGGGTACATGGCCTTTTGCTATTTTAACCAAGAATGATATTATCCAATAGACAAAGCTTCAAACGATTGTACAAGCCTCTGAGCATATAAAGATTTGGAAGCAACATAGCCTGACAAGTAGGGTAAGGCTATGATATTTACTCAAAGTTCTTTAAAAAAACTTGCTTCGAAGGGTCTAGAGTTGGGTTCAAAAGATGCTGATTCGAAGGGAATCAAGGTTCCAATCGAAGCCTTGTGTGAAGGTGGTTTTTGTCCAGTCGAAAGCTTTCCCGCCAGAGGTTACATGGTCAGACGAAAGGGTGCATGTAGGAGGTCCCTACTTTGGGGAGCTAGCACAAAGAGGAAATGTTGTCTTGAGAGTTTGGCAAACATGCAAAACTAAAGGCTTCTGAATCGGAGGAGAATTGCAGGAGGCCTTTGCTTTGTGACTTCAAACAAAACATGCAAGAGGCCTTTGCTCAAACGAAAGCTTGCCTGCCAAAGGTCCATATGGCCAAACGAACTTACATATGAAGGAAACCATAACTCCAAACGAAGAATGTAAACCCAAGCTTGTATTGAAGAAAGTCACATGCCCAAACAAAGAAAGCATGCAAGAGGCAAAGGGCATAAACGAAGCTTGCAACAAAGGGGTCCACATGCCCAAACGAAAGAGGCATGCTAGGCTTGCGAAGATACCCAGACGAAAGAGGCATGCAGGAAGCAAAATTGTGCAATCGAAGGATGCCAAAAGAAGACTTTTTGCCTTGGAAATGAATGAGGCTACAAGAGGCTTTTTGCCTTGTGCCTGCTGGCTTGGTTGGATCCTCTTGCGTGCACGAAGGAACCCATGGTTCAATCGAAGGGTGCATGCAGCTAGTCATCAACTTTGTGAATCAAGGCAAGCATGAAGGGAATGTTTGTCTAATCAACATAGACATGCAAGCATCAAACATCCAAACGAAGTAGGAATATAATCAGTCATTGCATTATGAACCGTGAGGCCAGAGATGCAATCGAAGGTGGCATGTAGGAAAATTCTGTCTTGTAAATCAAAGTCACCGTGTCAGAGGCCAGCCCCCAGTCGAAGGATGCAAGCCAAGCTTGCAACGAAAGAGGCCAAAAGGCCAATCGAAGGAGCTGAATCGAAAAAGACTTGTTTTTCTCCAATTTTGTCAAAAAAAATATTTTTATTTATTTCCCCTTTTTTAACAGCTTCCTCTTTAATTTGATGCTGAAAAATCCAATTGTACTTGTGCAAGCTTGAATTTTGAGAATCCTTGTGAGAAATGCCTTGAGAAACGAGAGGGCAAATTTTGGGGTACAACAGCTGCCCCTGTTCAATCTTCTTAAACCTGAAGAGTTAGATTGGTGAGTCCGCCATTCGTGACTTGAAGGTGGAAGTTGATTGAACACTAGAGTGCCCAGAAATTTGCACTCGATGATGTGGTGGTTGATTGTGTAGGGAATGATCTTAAAGATGTCATTTGCAGAGATGATGGATGGTTGTCAGAGATGGGCTTAC